ATAAATAACCTTTTTTTCCCCAAAATATTTCTACTGCTTTGGTATTTCAGTACCAGAAGCAGAGTCTGTTTAATTAATTACTGTTGTGAGTCAGCACTGTAATGGTCTGTTTTGTGATCTAACTCTGAAAGACTATTGTATCTGCACATTTGTTCTTTAAGAGAAAAGCAAAGCACTTCTTCCTATTTAGCTGATTAATTATACATGTTTTTTTTCCCAAAAGGTCTGTAAAAAAATTGCTGACATTTGAAATGTTTCTGAATGATAACTTTATGCCTTTTAAGATATTGTGAGAAAACAACCACAGAGCTAGATTCATACCCTGTTGTTTGTGGAATAGTTCCTGTTGCCATTAATAGGCTTAGGGTTTGGTACCTGGTTAGTGCCTCATCTTCCCTGTAACTCAGATCTCCCTCTGTAACTGGCTGTATATGTTGCAACTGTAATTATAACTTGAATATCAGAGTAACCTTCTTGTAGGTATATTTGAAATTTTTGTACACTCTTGTAAAGCTGTTGCATGTTGTGTAGGTGCCTGTATGCCCAAGGGCCAGAACTTGCTGCCTCTCCAGCCCTAGCAGCCTGTTACTACTATAGGTCTTAACTCCGTTAGGTGTCATGTGGCTGCAGTTGATACAGTTGCCCTGTCGGTCAACATTCATCCAGTGTAAGAGAAAATGTAAATTGAATGAAGGATTGATGTATATATTTATTTTTCTTCTCTTTTACAGGACGGGTGACAGAGTTCCACTGCACTGTGTGGACAGACACCCCAGTCAGCAACACATTGTGGCCACAGGGGGCCAGGATGGGATGCTGAGTATCTGGGACATCAGGCAGGGTACTATGCCAGTGTCCCTGCTAAATGCTCATGAAGCAGAAAGTGAGTATCCAAGTTAAGGAAGACAGAAGGTGTTTTAGAAAAAGGTTCTGTAAATCCTGGATAAAAAACTTGGATATGTTTAGCAGGAGTAGAAAGCAATCAATCGTATTTGCTACATAAAGTGCCTTTATCCAATTGGTTTTGTTGTGTTTCCTCTCTGCATATGAAATTGTTCTCATCTAAAAGGCAACTCTGATTAAATTAAAACTAGAATTAGTGAGCAGTTCTTTGTTAGCCATTAGAGATATTTAAGCAGAAAATAATTTCTTATGAAGTGGGTATATTACTAGTTTCTACTTATAGAAACCAATGCTGCAGTATACAGCATAAAGCAGTAAGGTGGGAATAAACTTAAAAACATAAAGGAGGGAGAAATGAAGATAGTACACATGCATTTGGTGATTTCACAGTGCTGAAATGGCTCACTTTTATTTTATATGAATAATAGTAATTCATTTTGTGCTGAACATTTGTGCTGAACATCTTGACTGCTGTAATTTTATTTAAGGATTAAGAAATAAGCTTTAAGTTTTACTGTCAAATATTTTTCTCAGTTGTGGTATTTAGACACAATTGAATAATGTGCATGCTGGGAAGGAGCGTATGTGTTGTGTGCAGATTTAAACTGATAGTAGGGAAGGTGGCATAAGAAATTATTCAGAATGCCTGAATTTAGAGAAGATTGTAACCTCTAGTGGCATGCACAGTATTGAATATGGGGCATTTGACTTCTTTTTTTTTTTTTCTCTCCTGTGAAGGGAAAACTGTAGTAATAACTAAAGGTGGGGTTTGGAGGCTTTCTTCCCACCTACTCACCACACCAGTTGAGAATGGAAGCTTTTGGTGGGAGCCTGAGTGCATGTCCATGTCGTATTTAAAAAGAAGACATTGAGCTTTGTATCTGATATTTTTGAAATGGTTTTGTTCTTTTCCAGACCCTGAGGATCCAGGCTGTCTTTACTGGTCCATAAAGTTTTTTTTTTGTTTTTTTTTTTTTTAAAGTGTTTCCTTCTTGGAAAGCAGTAGCATTCCTCTGTTTAGTTGAAGTTCTCTTTTCATTTACTGGAGCTGACAGCTCTTTCTCACCACCCTTCTCACAAGCAAACCTGTAGGAGGCTCTTGCTGAGTGACTCCATTCTGCATATGGCCAAGCTAAATAATGGTGCTCCCACTGATGTATGTTTACTATTAAGTACACTCCTTTTTATTTGTACAAACACTATAATAAATGATATATCCTACAGTGCTGTGGTAACAGTAGGACCACACTGGCCTTTGAGGCATGTAGTGCCCTTCCAGACTGGATGGATAAGTGAAATACTTACATTTGAAATGGCTGGAAATTGTGGTGACTTTATTATCCATAGCACTATCCTTACTGAAAGAAGCCATCCTGATTTACAGTTGCAAAGCTGTCTGTCTCCTTTCATTAATAATACTTCAGATATTTTAAGACAAAAGTGAGCTCTTAGGGTTTCATAATCACTAATTGGTTTTCAGTAATGGAGGAACTGAACTGTTTTTAGGATCACTGCAATGTAAAATGTTTAGGAGCATGATTATACTTTTTAAGTAAGGTTTCTTTTTCTTTTTTGGTTTTTAATATTTGTAGTGTGGGAAGTTCACTTCCACCCCTCCAACCCCGATCACTTATTTACGTGTTCTGAAGATGGATCTCTTTGGCACTGGGATACTTCCACAGATGTATCTGAAAAACCATCTTTTCTTCATCAAGGTAAGAATGTCTGAAGTTAGATTGCATTTAATTTGTCAGATGGCAGCATAATTAAAGCCATTGTGCTTATTTGTATAATCCAATTATAATACAGTCCTAATTCAGAAAATTAAAATGTTTTATGTTCTTAGAAAGAAAAGACTGATAGGCTTCAGAAAAACTGCTTAAAAGCTAGCACTTGAGTGGGGTTCTTCTGTTTTTAATTTGTCCTTGCCATACTCTGTCCTGTACATAAAGAGGCACATCTGGTATTTCAAGCCCAGTTGAAACTCATACATGCACAGAAAAGACATGAAGGCAGGCCAAATGACCTTAGTCTCTGAGGGAGATGTGCAACACTTTATAATACCAAAATGAATGGTAAGTTATTAAGATAGTGGAATTGTGAATTTGCTCATACGTAAACTTATCAAAGTCATAACTAGATTGTTCCTGAGTGAAACTTGATCTCTTCATGTTGTGCAGGATTTTAATTGATCATATGATACTGACTTAATAGAAAGGTTTCACATCACATCACGATCATAAAGACTGCTTGATTGTTTGTAACTTCAAATTGTAAACAGTAGAGAAACATTCCCCTTTTTTATAAACTGATTTCCCTATCTTCCCTGTTCTTTTTCTTCTAGGAGGAAGAAGTACTGCCTATATTTCCCACAGCACCATTAACCAGTCTGTAGTAAGTGCCTGGCTAAGCAACGATCCAACCAAGGACCGAATGGAAATCACCAACCTAATTCCAAATCAGACTTTGTCTGTGAATACTTTAGATGTTTTGGGACCATGTCTAGTGTACGGTACTGATGCAGAGGCTATTTATGTCAACAGACAACTTTTTGCATGAACTTCTTCCAGTATCCCTTTGAAGTGCTGATCACCTTTAACTACAGAGAAATGTTGTCCGTTTGATTTGACTTCTTAACTACACTGAGTGTTATCAGCATGTGGAGGAGAGGCTTTCAGTTGGCCTGCCATTGCAGAAGGAATACAAGTTATCCCAGATTCTGAAAGCTCTCACTCATTACTGATGCTTCAGCATGAGTAGCCAAGTACATTTACATGTCAGCTTGCTCTGATTTCTTCCCTGATGCCTGCTTTTGCTAAGCAGACATGGTAGTTGCTAGGGCAAAAATACACGTTGTAAAATTATTTCCATAATACACCCAAGGTGAAGTAAAGGCAACACAAGCTTCTTTTTTTTTTTTTAAACATAAAGACATTTATTTTCAAGTATTAATTCAAGGCCAAACTATGGGTTTCTTTGGAATTCTTTTTATGTCATTTGAGACAGATAAGATTTTTTTAATCTGAGTTTTTTAATGTGTTTTGGGAACATAACTTTTTATCCTAGGCCTTGAGAATTAGAGAGGAAAGCTCTTAGAGCTCTGAAATATGAAAGGTCCTGTCAGAATCTTAACATTTTAAGAGCGTTATTTCAGGTTACTTACAGCTTTGTCATTGATCTTTAAACCCAAATGTTAAAATGTCTCATGTTAAAACTTGATCATTATAACCTGTCAGTTATTCTCAACAGAAGACTGTTTATGTAGTTACATGATTCAAGAAGTGAGAGACTTGTTGGCTGTGTTTTTGGGTGTGAGACTGAGACTTACTCAACTTTGGACTTGTCCTGTCAACCAACCTTCCACATCTGGTCTTTTGTAATCTTTGGAAGGTTGATTTTATGAATAATGTCATTCCTCCCTTTTGTTGCAGAGAACAGTTTCTCTTTTTAATAAATATTCTACAGAAGGACGGTGGTGTGACTTTGTACATTAGTTCAAATAGATGTACCTGTAGCCATCTGCACAGGAAGGTAAACGAGTAACTGGGATCGATTCTGAGTGGGATCTGGGTTATGGAGGGCAGTGCCAGTATTGGGGCAGCAGCAGATGATGTGACCGACTGTTAAGAGACGTTGTCCATCAAACGAGCTTTACGTTACTTTCAAGTTGTCTGCAGAGGCACTCGACCTACCGTTGTAAGAATGTGCTGATCTGAATTTCTTGTGCACCCCGTTGGACAGCGGGGCTTGTTGCAAAGAGGGCTATTGGTCTTCAATTTTTCTTCCCGAGTTGTGCGCAGCGCACTGCCGAGAAGTGCAGCCCCCGGGGCCAACCATCGGGCAGCCCGCGGCAGGGGCCGGCCCGGGCCCCGCCTCGCCTCGCCTTCCCTTCCCCGCCCGGGCCGAGGGAGCGGGGGGAGCGCCGGGCGCGCAAGGGCGGCCGGGAGCTGCCCATATCCGGGAAGCCCTCCGCGGCGGAGACACCGACAAAATGGCGGCGCCGAACTGAGAGCTCCGTGGCGGCGGCGGCGGGCCGTGGCGGAGGGAACGAGCGGCCGCGGCGGGCAGCGCGGAGGGCCGCGGCGGTCGTCGCCGCGCGGGCGGGGCCGGGGCGCTGCCGCCGCCGCCCTCTCGCCGCAGGTAGGTCGGTGACGGAGGGAGCGGGAAGCCGAGGCCTGGCTTCGGTGCGGGGACGGCCGCGAGCTCTCCGCCGGGGAATGCGAGCCGGGTCCGGATCCTGCCGCCCCGCGGGTCCGCTCGGCCGCTCTTTCCCCGCGTTCCCCGGGGGGCGGCGGGGCGACCGCCGCCCTTCCCAGCGCGTGGGCCTGCCGCCGCCGGGAGCGGCCGGGGAGCGTCCGTCTGTGGGAAGAACCGCGTCCCGCCGCGGGAGATAACGGGGCGGGCTGAGAGCGCCGTGTGCCCGTGCACCCCGAGCCGCGCTCATTGCCGCGCCGAGTGCGCCCTTCTGCGCCGTGCTTTCCTCCTCCTCTGGAGGCACTCGGCGCTGGCAGCGCGTCCTTTGGCAGGCAGCTCGGTGGCTGTAAGTGCTGGAAAGAATTGCTGCCTCTCCTTAGTTTGAATCGAGCGCCTGCAAACTTAAGTTGATGGCTCCCAAATTCTTGTGTCGGTTTGCTTTGGTTTTCCTAGTGACAAGTCTTCAGATCAGAAATAAATTACTGCAATGGGTATGGAAGTGGAACCAAAGACAGCTTACAATATGGTGCTCAATGGTCAGTGGGAGAATAGGAATATTTAAATGTGTTCAAAGTTATTTAGATATAAAATGTTACAAGTTTGCTGGAAAGCCACGTGTTGCTTTTCTTTTCCCTCAGAAAAAAGTTGGAAGGTGCTGACGGTTGCATGCAACTGTGCTGTGCTTTCATGCAGCTGCCCGTTCTGAAGCCCAGCCTTTCATGGTTGTCTGTGTAAAGACAACTGTTTGTTGTTTTTCTTACAGTTTGACTCATAGTAGAAAATACTTTTCATTTCAAAGTTTCAGGGTGAAATGATTTTTTTTTTCTTAATTTTTGTTTAATTTAGGGAATTAGGGAGCTTCATTAGTGAAAGTACTAGTGACAAACAGGTATATCACTTAGGTTCAAGGACACACGAGAGTGAGTGGGAATAGCTGCTGTAGGGAACCTGCTTTAGCAGGGGGTTGTACTAGACAGTGTCCGGAGGTCCCTTCCAACCACTGCAGTTCTGTGATTCTATAGGTACGTGTCATTTCCCTTGGGTGCAGTCAGCTCTTTGTGGTCAGAGGTGAACGACTCCGGTCGATCTCTTACTGAGCAGTTAAAATGTTCTTGTTTTGCAGTGTACAAATGTCTTCAGGAGGAGGTGTCCTGAATTTTGAAGTTTAGCCATAAAGCATTGTTAGCTGTAGCCAATGTAATGCTTGCTTTCTCTGATTTTGTTAAACTGAGAGGCAGGTTTAAATGGCTTTCTAAGCAATTAAGACTGCTGTTTAACATAGGCATCTAACTGTTATTGCTCAATCCTGCTGTCAAAAGAAAAGACCTGCCAAAAAGTGACTGTTATCTGGGTAAGTTGCCCCAGCCTGATTTGCACTGTGCAGCCTTACATGCAGTTGCACAGGCCCAGGTGAGCGGTGGCAGGTAAGCAGGATGGCTGCTTCATGCTGGCAGAGCTTTAGCTGGATAACCCTGCCAATGGTGAACTAATAATCGCTCTTAATTTTGGCTGAATTTGCACTGAAATTACTGAGCTGTGTCATTAAATACTGTTGAATGAACTCACATAGAGATTTTGCTTTTCTGGAGGAGAGGATTCCTTCAGACACTGTTAGCATGTGTCCTTGCACTTGTGAGTCCGGTTTATGTTCTGAAGCAGGTCTCTTGGAAGAAAAAGGAACATGCCAAGCGAAAGTATTTTCTAGTAGAATTTCTCCCTTTTCTTTGGAAAAAGCATTTTTAGCCAAGTGTTTTTGAATGCAGTCTTAAACATCGTGTTTTGAAAATGATCTTGAAAGTGGGCAAAACTAAATTGTCTTTTAATTGCTCTCATGACATGCTTTCTGCTGAATCAAGATTTCTTAATACTTTGGACAAAACCTCGCTGTTTATTATTAAAACTCACTTAGATGCTTGATAATCTTTTCCTTATTCAGTGAGTACTGAGGAACTGTATGCTACCAGACTGCAGGAAAAAGCTTTAATATCAGTAGGAAACTAGCTTTGTTTAAAGTTCTGTACCTACCACAGAGCAAGGAAAGTGTGGGTGCAGTTACAGCTCCGAAGGTTTAAGCAGTTCCATTCAAGAAATACAGTATGAAGTGATTTGCCAAGGTGAATGGCATTGGGTGGTGGTCCTTTGTGTTCCTTCTTGCAAGCCTGGTTTATGTCTTCTTTAAGCTTTCCAATTTCATTCGTGTATGGGTAGCGTGTGTATGCCACCTGTATAATGTGTATGGGTGTCAGAAGGTTCTTTTTCCTATTAGCTGCGTGTCACATTCTTCCTCAGTTGTTGAATCACTAATTGGTTTATGGCAGTGCAGATATTGTGGAAGTGAAACCAAGGTAAAAAGTGGCTCCTATGTGGGCTGTTTGAAACTCCTTAGACGTGTTTAATTAATGTCTGTCATGAGAAACACTTACACAGTACTTCAAGAGACAAATGATGCTTACAAGCATCTGGATCCTCAGAAAGAATCCTTCAGAAAACTGGGAAGGCAAAATTTGAGTGCATGAATCTGTTGGGTGTTGAGCTGTGGTAAAGAAGCAGTGTGAGTTAAGCTTTATCATTCTCTAGTTGCCTCTGAAGACAGTGCTAAAACATGTAACTTTTGTGTCTTGTACTGCCTTCAGTGTATGATCTGCCTCTGTGGACTGCAGAAGGTTTATTCCAGGATGCTTTGAAGAGGTGGAGGCTCTGTAACCTCTCAGTGTATCACCTTAGTCTCTATAGCTTTGCTGTACTGGTTACAGTACATGCTAATGCACAGCACAAAGGCAGAAATTTTAGAGCACAGAGTTCTTTCCCTGATGAGTCAGGCCATTCAAAACGCAGAAGTTATTTGTTTTTGGCAGAATTTTCTGTTTTCCTTACCAAATGTCACAGTTATGTTCTCAGTTAAACAATATTGCAGTAAGAAAGTTTTGATGTTATTTTATCCTCCTGCACCCATCTTTCTTTATATTAAAAAAATATATAACTGCTAACAAAATACAACTGGATCCAGAAGGCTCAAGCTGAGAGACTGTGATAGCCTTAGAAAACTGAGACCTTAAACAAGATTAGGTGGAAGATGATGCTAGAAATCATAAAGTTGCTTGTGATGAGATTGGCCATTTTTTTTATATATGTGGCTGGTGGAGAATGGATAAATCACAGTAGTTATATACATACTTTGTGCTTCCACCTGCTCATGGAGCTTGGTGTCAGGGCTTTTGAACAGCCAGCATGTTGGTCCATGCTGTAGCTGACTGCCTGGCAAGTGGAGCAGGCACCTTCAGCTTTCCAGAGTGGTGATGGAGAGAATGTGGGCAACAGAATGGGAACAGCAGACAGGGAAGGCAGAGAGCCAGCAATGGGGCTGTGTGGGGGAAGCGCGCTTAGCAGTCATGTCTGCTCCTTAGGCTTTGAACCTCACCCTGAGTTCCTGTCTGTTCAAACTTGAGGCATCTATGACATTCCTTTAAAGGAGTGTTAGGAGCCCAGCAAAGTTCCTGGTTTGCGTTATGTAAAGACTCCCTGAAGAATTTGGGTAGCATACCTGTACTAACTGCGAAGGCGTCGCTGCATGTCAATGTTTTACTTGTGATGTGTAATGGGACTTTTGGTTTGTTTTCTTAACAGGAGAGCTGCTTTGGATTGTGACACACTTCAGCACTACAAGAATCACAGTTTAGCAGCAAACAGTCGCTGCCTTCACGTGTTCTGAAACTACCAGCCAGCCTTTCTGGAGTCTTGCATTAGCGCGAGTCCTTGGTGAAGGTTGCATATATACATGTTTTCATGAAGAGAACTGAGAAGCCAGAAGGTTATAGACAGATGAGGCCTAAGACTTTTCCTGCCAGTAACTATACTGGCAGCAGCCAGCAAATGCTACAGGAAATACGAGAGAGCCTCAGGAATTTACCAAAACCCTCAGATGCTGCTAAAGCTGATCTCAGCATGGGGAAGATGTCATCTGAAGATCCTCGACAAGGTCGAAATCCCCCCAAATTTGTAACATATCATAAAGTTTTGCAGGAGATACGAAACTCACTGCTGCCCTTTGCAAATGAGACTACTTCAGCTGTCAAAGGAACATCAGAAGTTAATCGACAAATGCTGCAAGACTTACAAGCTGCTGGCTTTGATGAGGTGAAACATTTTATATTCAAGTTTTAATGTTTTGCTAACTATAAACTATCAGAGTGTATTGGAGGAGGTGTTGGTCATGGAATGTTTAAACAGCATATGATAAGCAAAATAGCTGTAAAATCTGGTGGAGTTCTAATTAGAACTTGATGAAGCTGGAATGAAGAAGGGAAACAGATTTAGAGAGATTTGGCTATCTTTCAGTTTTTGCACCATTTGCAGTATGTGTGGTAGGGATTGTTTTAATTCTATAAACCATTTTAGACGGAGAGAACTGGACACTTCAGAACATGGATTTTGTCTTTGATACTCACCAGAATTTTAGATTGTGCACAACTAAAACATGTTGATAACGTATGGCCATTCCAAAGTGAAAGGCAGCACCACATATTTCAGGATTAAATTTTAATGATCTTTTCACATCTGTTGTTAGTGGAAAGTCAGTGAAGAAAAAATGTTATAGCTTTTTTTCTTTTTTTTTTTTTCCCCTGACAAATATATTTTACAAGGTATACTATAAAAGCAATTTCAGGTTATCTTCTCTGCAGTTATGTTCTGAAGACAAAAATGTTAAGATCACAGCACTTGAAAATCATGGGTATAAGTCACTATTCTGCTATCATTGTTATAAAACAAAAAAAAAAAGCCACCAAAAACCCAAGAACATTAGACAAGTACGCACTAAACTTACTTCCATTCATTCAGTATGTGAAAGAAGTTTGAAGTATGGTTTCTAGGAGTATAAAATGAATATACTTAGAGCTCCTGTGTCTTTATTGGAAATTGCACATCTACGTAAGTTATACCTATTCTCACTCCTTCTCTGTAAACCTGAAAAGCAGATAAAAACAAAACACAAACTAGCAAACCACTCTGCCACCCTGGGGCTCCCTTTCCAGGAGCGTGCTGACTGCCCTAGCAGCCAGCTCATAAGTTCTGCGATGCTTTGGTATTCACAGGGAGGTTAAGAGGAGCAAATTTCTCTAAAGCTATGAATTGGTATTTCCTCAATAATGTCACAAAATGAGGTGCTGATTGTGGAAAAAAAAAGTACTTTCCTTTGGCTTGCCCGAATGCAAAGACCAAGCTTGATTTTCAGTAAGCATGGAAGGATTTTATGATGATAAATGATTTTGTAATGATTTGTTCCTTATCTGTGGTTTGCTGCTGGAGTAGTTTTGCTTTCTTAAATTGATTAGCTCTCATATCCATTTTTACAGAATGAGTTTTCAGTCACTTTCCCAAGCTGCTGGATAGTAAACTAGGAAAGCATCTCAAGTTGGTATTTCTGTTGGAGGCCTCTGTGTCTTGAAACCTTTTGGTCTGCTGCCCTTTGTTCTTGGATACAACCAAGAATTCACAGGGCACTTGGGATTACATGGATCTCTTCCTCAGAGACAGAGACAGCGTAAGCAGTTTGTGCCACATGATAACCCATGGCTGTGTTTCCACAATAGTCCATATAGGAGTGGCCTGCAGACACCACCAGGGAACAGATACAACTGATAGCATTTTTCAGAGTGAGGGGGTTGAGACAAGAAGGGAATAAGGGGGTATTTTGAGCTGGGTATTCTGAACAGGATTGTAGTTGAGTGCATTAGCTGCTTATGGTTTGGCCAGATTGGGCTGTTTCTAATTTATGTTAGGTATGTTTTTGCTTTAGCAGATTACATGGACGTTACTTTCTTGATCTCTGGTGCATTGCCAGAGATTTTCTAATCTGCTGTATTTACAGTAGAAGCAAACTAACTAGTGGATGCCAACTTCATTTTCTGTTTTGCTTAGCTCTGGTCAGAACCTATATTAAGTTTTAGTGGGATTTTATTAGCATGTTCAAAATGGATTTGAAGTAACAATAAAAGCTTATTTTAAATCAGAGCAAGGTCTTAGCTGTATTGCAGGCTCAGTAATCACTTGAGCTTTGGGAACATGGTAAGTTCATTCCTGCCTTTTTCATTCTGTATGTATTGATTGTATCACAGAAGTTTTGGTCATTTCCTCCAGTCACCTTTTCTAATAGTCTGTAGTATTCAGGGTTAAAGCTGAAATCATATGCTTGTGTGTATGTGTGTCTGTATATGTAGTGGTAAAATGAGAGCAGTAGAAAATATAGTACACTATACTATTAAATAGAGTACTGTAAAAAGAACAAAATGGAAGAATGTAGTTCATTCTACTCATTTAAAAAAAGACATCCTAAATTGTTTACAGGAAATCTGTCTTATTGAGATTGAAGTTCAGTTCAAATGTGTTCTATGTAAGGGGATACTTTCCAAGATGTCTAATACTTCGTCTGACATAGGTGACTATAAAATATTCTTCATTAGGAGAGACCTTTTGGCTGGCTCTTCTTCATGTTCTCTGATCAGTGGACATGGAATTTAAATTTAATCTAAAATATTGCTCATTCTGTACTTTAAGTTTATACTAACTTTATAGATTGATGATGTGAACTTGTTACTTTATGTTTGCATATTGTAGACTAATTTTGCTGAAAAGCTGGTGAATCTGTTTTTGAAACGAAGAGAATTAGAGTAGTTAGGTGGAAATGGATGATGAGCCCTGTAAAAAAACATTTTCACATTGGAAATGTAATACTACAGACAGTCTAACCTTCTGTTTGCACAATGATCCAGTAGCATACTGATGCTGAAAACGTACTTCTTTGCCTGTAATAGTTGAAATGTTGCAGGTGTAACTCTCATGAAAAAGTTATGAGATCAAATGCTGTATCTTTTGATCCAGCAACATCACCTGCTCTGTAAACATCAAGGCTATCTTGTTTTCTATATGTATGTACTTTCTCTGTTTTGTCCATTTTATTATTGTTTCTGAAGGCTGTGCGTATTTCATGCATTCACAATGTCAAAAACATACAGATGTAGTATGTATGTTATATGTAGTATAAATGTGGGTTTGAATTTGAAATTGATACTGACCTCTTCCCTTCTGAGCCCTCTTGGACTTCCCATTGATTTTGCTGGTAGATGAATCATAGAATGGCTTGGGTTGGGAGGGACCGTAAAGATCATCCAGTTCCAGCCCTCCTGCCATATACTGCTGTAACTTGGTGACTTGTTCAAAAATAATGTGAACTGAAATGATGGCGTTGATATGACAAAGTATGGCCATAACAGATCACTGGAAGGCAGTGTGGTTAATTAAAGGGAGTCACTCTGTATATATATTTTTTTAAAATTCTGAGCCAACTGCACAGTACCATTCAATAAAAATGGGAGAGGAATGCCTGACTTTTTTAATCACCTCTTGACTTCAGTCTCATTCAAGTCCAGAGAAACACCACTGATCCATAATGCATTTTTCATTGACAAACCTGGGATTGGTCATCTGATCAAAGCTTCTCTTTGGATCTCTAAGAACACAGCAAATCCCCACCACAAAAATAACAGAATTTCTGCCAGTATTGTTATGTTTACTAGTAAAAAAATACTTGAGGAGAAGCTAACGGATATTTGTTGACATTTCAGGTTGAGGAAAAATGAGCAAATGCAATAGAACTGAATGTCACATTTGGATATCTTTTATAGAATAAGTTAAGTTAGATGGGACCTCTATCTGTTATCTGAGTAATGCGTACAACTAGTAAACACCTAGAATAGACAAACTGTAAGAACAGCACACTGACACAGTTAATATCAAAATATAGGGTTTTTTTGGAAGATCCAGACTATTAATTTTTTGGAGGATCTGTTTTGGAGAAGACCTTGTTTGATTTTTAAGTTGATTGAGAGAAATCATTATGTACTTTGGTAAAACTACTGGAGGATATTTGGCTAAATTCTCATGATTTACATTATTCTTGCCATTTTTAGTAACTTTTTGTATTTAATTTTCCCTTTAGGAAATGGTTATACAAGCCCTTAGACAAACTAACAATCGTAGTATAGAAGCAGCCATCGAATTTATCAGTAAAATGAGCTACCAGGATCCTCGTCGGGAACAGATGGTTGCAGCTGCAGCAAGACCTGTAAACGCAGGTATGAAACCACCAGGTAGGTATATTCATGGCACTTCAACTCATTAACTGTTCTTACTGGTGAAAAATACAAATGGCATACTCTGTCATGTGCTCAGAGTAGAGGAGTGGAGGTGCTGAGATACAGGGTTTTGCTTTGAAGATTATTTGTGAAGTGTATAGTAGAATTCTTTTGAAACATCAGTATCTTTGATGTCAATTTAAGACTTTTTAATATCTGCTTGTTGTTAGCATTTTGTCTAAGAATCACAGAATCATAGAATTGCCAAGGTTGGAAAAGACCTCCAAGATCATGCAGTCCACCCATCACCAATATTTCCCACTGAACCATGTCCCTCAGGACAACACCTAAACAACATCCTTGTATTATATTCAAGGAATGATACTCAGATCTCAGTCATTTTTGCCCCTGGTTGTTGTGATGCTTGTATTTTTTCTCAGTCATGTGCCATTCACAAATTAGTAAACTTTTATTTGACTTAAAGTTGAATACTCAACAGTCATCTCTTTAAAATTGTTTTAAATCCACAATATAGATGTGAGGAAAAAATGATAGTCAAGAGTAGCAATATACAGCGTTTATTTTCAGTTAGCCTCTGAAGCAGAACTTGTATGTAGTTGGAGCTTGTATGAAGCAGCTAGTTAAATGCTACCATTGAGCTGTAATTTTCATTATTACTTGCAAAGTTATCATAGTTAGCATGTTCTTTTACTGAAATGATAGCAATGCTCTGTCATCTTTTTGTAAAAGCAGGGACTGTACAGCAGTCGGTTAACCGCAAGCAGAGCTGGAAGGGTTCTAAGGAATCCTTGGTTCCTCAGAGGCACGGCCCTTCCCTGGCAGACGGAGTAGTTTATCGCTCAGAAAGTCCCAGCTCTCAGCCTGATGTGGGAAGGCCACTATCTGGATCTGGCATTGCAGCATTTGCTCAGGCTCACCCTGGCAATGGACAGAGAGTGAATCCCCCACCGCTCCCCCAGATAAGGAGCGTCACGCCGCCTCCTCCACCTCCTCGAGGGCAGACGCCCCCTCCCAGAGGAACCACGCCGCCGCCACCTTCCTGGGAACCAAATGCTCAGACAAAGCGTTACTCTGGGAACATGGAGTATGTGATCACCCGTATTTCTCCAGTGCCACCAGGTGCGTGGCAGGACGGTTATCCACCTCCACCGATGAATCCACCACCCATGAATTCTTCTACTCAGGGTCAGAGAGGCATGAGTGCTGTCCCCATTGGAAGGCAACCAATAATCATGCAGAGTTCTGCCAACAGCAAGTTTAGCTTTCCCTCAGGAAGGGCTGGAATGCAAAATGGTAATTGTCAGGCAGAGTTCATAGTTCACCAGAATGTTGTGTCTGGGAACTCGGTTACTCGCCAGCCACCTCCATATCCAATGAACTCAACTAATAGGCAGAGTCCTACAGCACTACAAATGCAGGCAGGGGGATCTGCTCCCCCTTCAGCATACACCAATGGGAATCTTCCTCCAACAATGTTGGTGCCAAATAGAAATAGTCACAACATGGAACTTTATAATACAAACGTGGCTGGAATACCTGCATCCTGGTCACAGCCTCCACCTGTGCAGCCGCAGTCATCACCCGGCAATGGGCACGAAATCCCTGCATGGCAACCCAACCTTCCAGCACGGTCGAATTCCTTCAACAACCATCACGGAAGTAGACAGAGTCACGCTAGCAGCTCTCAGCCTTCAGCCACTACAGTAACAGCTATAACACCAGCTCCTATTCAGCAGCCAGTGAAAAGTATGCGTGTGTTAAAGCCAGAGCTGCAGACTGCCTTAGCACCATCTCACCCTTCCTGGATGCCGCAACCAGTACAAACCATTCAGCCCATTCCCTTCTCCGAGGGTCCATCTACAAACATGGCTGTTATGCCACCTGTTGCAGAGGCTCCGAATTACCAGGGTCCACCCCCACCTTACCCCAAACACTTGTTACACCAGAGTCCATCTGTCCATCCTTATGAAACTGGACCCAAGCTTAGCAAAGAGGAACCACCCGTTTCGTCTAAGGAGGAAGAGATCGAAAAGAATTATGAATGTGTTGATTCAGCAGACAAAGAAAAGAAACAAATTACAACATCGCCCGTTCCTGTCAGAAAAAACAAGAAAGATGAAGAACGGCGAGAGTCTCGTATTCAGAGCTATTCCCCTCAGGCTTTTAAGTTCTTCATGGAGCAGCATGTGGAGAATATACTCAAGTCACATCAGCAACGTTTACATCGGAAGAAACAACTGGAGAATGAAATGATGCGGGTAAACTCTTTCTCCTAAGTCTTTGACTAGAATTGCCTTAATGGTAGGACAAATAGTACAGGTACATAGAAAGATCACTGTGGTACAGCCTGGTGTTGAGGGCTGTGCTTAGTTTTTTGTATTTCAGATGTGGCAGTTTCTCTATTACTTTGCTTATGTACTTCATTGTCTTCTTAAAAATTAGTTTTGTGAAGTAAGGTTTCTGTGTCTAAACACAGCTCATATGGCTTATAACTGGTAAGGCAGAAGAAGCAGTATTTCTGTATGAACTGAAATTTAACTACTTGGCTTATAGTTTATTTTCAGGATTAAACAGAATTTTTCTTTTGAGTGAGCTCTATGCAGTGTTTTAATGGTATGTGTAGGTGTGTGTAAGCAAACACTGCAGGGATGAGTTGGTGCACCTTTTATATAGTCACCTAAACAATGATATCTTTTCCAGTTTGTTCTCACTAGTAAGAGGGTTTTTGAAGTTCATACCTTAAAAAACAGTGTTTAATTTTATATTTCTAAAATGAGAGTGATGTGGTACTTCTTGGCAAAGTATTTTATAATCCAGACTCTTAAGGGTGTCTGTTCAAACAAGGTGCAACTGAATGGGATGATAACAAACACCTGCAAGAATATATAGAAGCAATTTCTTTGTGCATACCTGAAGTCAGTGGTCTGTTCCTGAGATTTCATGTTTGTGAAACAATCTGAAAGGTTAAAAAAGTGATGTGTTTATGTGTAATTTCAAAAGTGAAAATCAGGAGAAGTAGATTATTAAGACGAGCAGAAATGAAGATTTGAGATGCATTTTATATATTCTTAGCAGCTGTAGTTGAAAATTGGACATAATTGTGATCTGCCTTTTATAAATGCACTTGGCTAATGCCACTTTCTTGAAACACTGCTTTTAAAATCCATGTTTTTTACTCTTTGAAAATTCCTACTGTAAGCTGTAGTGTTTTATGTTTGGTTAATCATAAGATATGTAAATGTTAGCAAAATTTCCTGAAGTTCTTTCTAGATCTTTATTCTTAGTTTTCTCTCTTTCCTTTTCACTTCCACTAACAGCTGATTTAAACTGTTAAGGTGTGGGAAGCTTTCCTGAACTCTGTAGCCTCCATTCCTGTGTAGGCAAGTAAGATTTTTGGAGCAACAGTATTTTTTTATTAAAGAGTAGCATGATCCCTTTTTAGAGGTCTTTGCATGCAATCCTGCATCAAAATTAAGCATGAATTTTATTTTGACTATTTTTTAGTACTGAAAAGTAAGATTGTAACTCATGTTGATTTGCAAACTTCACTTTCCCTTCTTCCTGTGTTGTTCCATAGTATCAGAATCATGTCTTACTTAAGCAAAGACACTGATTGTAAGCTTTCTTGAATGTTTTCTTTGTACATTTAAAACACTTAAGTGAATGTCTTTTTATATGAAATACATTTTATAATATTTATGCTAGATTAAAAGCTGGGATGTTCAATTGCATACTGAAGCAGGGGAAATGCAGTATTACACTGCCACAAACCTCTTCTCTTTCATCAGGTTGTAGGACAGAATTCCCACAACAGTGTAGTATATTTGAGGCCTTCATGATAAGGAGTACGGGTAACTAGTTCACTGCATGCTGTTAGGAAGGTTAAGAGGATTAAACAGGTATCGATCCCCCTCTTTTCTCCTCCTTGGTAGGAATTTTGAAAATCAAAAAAGAACACAGAATGTATCCCAGCAGAAGTACCTACCGTCAGCAGATGCTATTTCTTGGATAGGTGATGGATTTGTATTCTTTTGGGCCTTTTAGGGAACTAAGTGGAAGTCTGTCAGAAATATTTAATTTAAATGTGTGAATTTATTTCCTTTACACTCGTGCCCAAGTGTTATGCTAGATATCTATATCACAAATAGAAACTTCAGTAGTCATGATCTAGGGAACAGATGAGAAGAAAGTAAAATGAGAGTAAATGGTGTGATAGTAGATAGCAATTCAGGAAACTTGTGCCTGCTGCTAAATAGAAGTTACAAGAGATGTGAGTACCTGTGTGTTTATGCACCTGACAAAAATAGTAAATTTTTGGTAAATTCCATTGCTGAGAAGACTTGTGGCAAATTATTGCAGTGTGGGAAGAGGTCAGTTTGTGACAAACATTACTTTAATGAATGGCATAGGAAAAAGTGAAGACTGCGTTTGGGTGAATAGATGCCAAATTAGGCTATGTAATTTGGATTTTACAACAAAATTGTTAGAATGCAACAACGAGAAAGCAACAGGAATTTTGGAGGCTGTATTTTGTATATCTTGCTGTGGTTAACTCCCTCCTAGTGTTTTGTTACCATTTTCTTTGCTAGTTATCTAACAGGTGGGATTCTGTCAGTGTGCAACTGGCACTGCCCTGAAGCAGACCTAATGGTGCAGGGGGCATTTGAGAGATGCTCTGTTGTCTGAAGTTTAAAAAATGTCTTCTTGATCTTTTGAGTTCTTCAGAAATGCCTTCTTCTGCATTGAACTGTACCTTAAGCACTTCATCCACAGAAAACTTAAGGTGCTTTCCACTGTATCTCTCTTTTCAAGGGCACTGCCTTGGTATTCCTACGGTAACATGGAGGTCAGTTGCACACATTGGCTGTACTTGAGGTAGCGAGTTGAATGTATTTCCCAAATCTAATCTGAAGCTAGCTCTACCTAACTGCTGCTTTTCTGACTTAGATGAAAAAATTTGTCTCAGATTTGAGCCAGCTTTCTCTATTTAAATCTTACTGCTATTGATTGTAAATTTTTTGTAGTCTTTTTTTTTTTATGCTTGTAAGAAAATCTCTCTGATTCTCCAACAGTGCGTGTTTTTTTGTTTTGTTTTTGTGATTGATATATGGTATACTGAAGGCATGTGTAAGATACTGAGTGATACCCAATTGGTCTTTCAATGACTCCTTTTTTTCTCAATCACATATTATGTTTTGTCACAAGTTAAATTTTAAGTTGGGCAAAGCGTAGGAGTCATCTGTTAACAGACAGTTTATACACACCTCAGCTAGTGATTATCTAATCCTGGTGATGGTCCTGGGGTAATATTATGCAGATAGTATCTTAAGCATTGCAGTGTTCGGGGACAGAAGTTGCACCATCTGGTATCAAGCATCAGTAAAATACTGTGACACTAAGAAGTTGGAAACTTGTGCTGAGCAACTGTCGTTGTGTCTACAGGGTTTCGTTTATTCATTTATGTTCCGTTTTATGGTTGGAGTGTCCAGGAAAAAAAAAAAAGGAAAAAGTATTCTGTAGGTTGCACTGGCAAATCAGTGCTGTTGGCTGGCAGTTTCAACAAGCCAGGTGGGCAGAAAAACAATTGAAAAGGATTGAAAATGTTTACAGAAAACAAAAGAAGGAACGAACATAAAGCCCTGTGGTAGGAACATCACAAAGGAAATAACAGTTCTGAAGAAAAAATTTTCTCATGTTAAAACTAAAATGAAGGGATATCCTGGTACCAGCACCTGAAATTCTCCTTAGTAGATGCTACTGGAATGCTTCAAAGGAATTGAAGCCAGAAAAACAACCAGTAGGAGGAACCAGGGTTGGAATACGATGAGAATGCTTAGCGTGGTTATAGTAGATAAGAGTTTCTGTGCTTTAGGCTGTGAGTTTCACGTGGCTTGTGAGTATTTCAGCTGTCAGAGTGCTAGTGGTACTGATCAGGCGCCAGGTATGTTCATTCAAGATAGCGATACTTGCTGAGAAATGATAGTGGGTGGAGGGATGAGCCACTTCCAAGAAGCTGCTCCGTCCAGCTTACCGGTACATGGAGAGCAGCAGAGAGAACGTGACCGAGGCCCTGTTAGGGAGAGGTGGAACTTGTGGTAGGAGGGAAGACTGGGCCTGGGCTTGTGGTGGAGGTGTGCCCTGGGGTTGGGCGGGCAATAGGAAACAGTGCCAAGGTTTAAAGTTCTGCCTGGTGTAGATAGACATGAGCGTGGGAGCGTTGTATCCCCTCCTGTAACTGAGATTACACTGATGTGGCCAGGACGATTAGTAACACCGCTTCAGCTAGGGTAGTGTAGAAGCCTTTCCCACTGCAGCTCCTCTGCATGTCTTGGCTGGTTTTTGCTCTGCATGAAGCATCAGGGAGACAGTTAATGCACACTGTTATTCTGATTAATAAAAAACAGGGCAGGTAGTACTTAACAGTATTTTGTAAAACATTTCACAAAGAAAATAACTATTCCTATTGTTTAGGAAGAGGAGCTAAGAAACAAAGACATGAAGTAAGATTAAAAGGATCTTCTTAGTCTCTCATATATAAGTATTTTGTTTATTTTGCTTAAGTTTTGTAATGTTAAGAAGATCACTTAGAACTAAGAGTACTATTCACTCTTCAAATGCAATTCTCTTTTGCTGCACAGGTTGGATTGTCACCAGAAGCCCGAGATCAAATGAGGAAAATGTTGTGCCAGAAAGAGTCTAATTACATTCGGTTAAGAAGAGCTAAAATGGACAAGTCCATGTTTATAAAAATTAAAACCCTGGGAGTTGGCGCATTTGGAGAAGTTTGCCTAGCAAGAAAAGTGGATACCAAGGCTTTATATGCAACAAAAACTCTAAGAAAAAAAGATGTGTTGCTTAGAAATCAAGTTGCTCATGTTAAAGCTGAGCGGGATATCCTTGCGGAAGCTGATAACGAATGGGTGGTTCGTCTGTACTATTCATTCCAAGATAAGGACAATTTGTACTTTGTAATGGACTACATTCCTGGAGGTGATATGATGAGTCTCCTAATTAGAATGGGTGTCTTTCCAGAAAATCTGGCACGGTTCTACACAGCAGAACTGACCTGCGCAGTTGAAAGCGTTCATAAAATGGGCTTCATCCACAGAGATATTAAACCTGATAATATTTTGATAGACCGCGATGGTCACATTAAATTGACTGACTTCGGACTCTGTACAGGTTTTCGATGGACCCATGATTCAAAATACTACCAGAGTGGTAAGAGAAATGTAAAACTTTTTTGTTGTTGATGTTGGCATGTTACTCTTTTGAAGAAATTAAATAGTTAAATAATAACGAGTCAAAAGATGACTGTAGCGTTGCCTTCATGAACATTTAAAGCATCTAGCAGTGTTTCTGCACACCATTCAAATTACAGAAGACAACATTTAGGAAGCATTTCTGAGTGTAGGTAGGCATTGATTGCTTAAGAGGGAAGAAATAAACTGTGATGCTGAAAGTTTGTCCCATTAGTATCTTCTGTAACTTGGAGAGAAAAGATGTAGTGGCATAATTATGTAGATAACAACTCTAATTCTACTCTGAAGATAGGACTGATGTTTTAGATTGATCGTTCTTGAAAATCTTTCACCAAGCATCCTTGTAACTGTTGATTTCTTTTAAAACTCTAAATGATGACTTTTTAATTCTTAGAGGCTTGTTTTTATTTTAGAAAAGAATTTCTGAATTACTGTTAGACCAGGCTACTTTGGAGTCTCTCAAGAGAAAGCCAGGGTTTGCATTATTCCAGATAAGAGATTGAAACTGATTACTTGGAAGGCATAAATAAAAACTCATTGATTTTTCTTTTGGTAATTAGCATCAATTGGTGCTTTAAATGTTGGTTTTCTCTCTTTGTGTAACAGCAAGAACAATATACACACTATGTAGTCACTATATAGCTGTTACCTTAAGAAAAAACTTCAGAGAAATCAAACTTTCTCATAATTACTCCAAAAATTAACTTCTCAGATGTAATTTGTATCATAAGCAAAAAGTCAAAATCCTGATGTTTTAAGACTTTTCAGTTTTTTTTTCCTTGAGTTGTGAAATAGTTTCTATTTTGTGATGAAAATGTAATAAATGAAGAGAATTTAATTCTAGTTACGCTCTGAAATGGCCCGTCTCAGTTTTGGCATTTTTCTCACGCCGTTGCAGGCGATCATGCCCGTCAGGACAGCATGGATTTCAGCAATGAGTGGGGTGACCCAGCAAATTGCAGATGTGGAGATCGGCTGAAGCCACTCGAACGTAGGGCTGCACGTCAGCACCAGCGCTGTCTGGCCCATTCCCTTGTTGGCACACCTAATTATATTGCACCAGAAGTATTGCTGCGAACAGGTAATGCGTTTATTTTTATCATAATCTTCCTGCAACTTAACTGGCATTCCAGTAGCAGCTTCACCTTTCTTACTGCTTCCCCCAAGTATATATCTTGATTAAAAACAGCTATTAATACATTTAAGATTCCTATATTGAATATAAATACCTTGCAAACTTGCAGGATTAAATATATACTGAGGCTTTGACTCTTTTTTTTTTTTTTTTTTTTTTTTATCTTCCAGGTTATACACAGCTGTGTGACTGGTGGAGTGTTGGAGTAATTCTCTTTGAAATGTTAGTGGGCCAGCCTCCTTTCCTGGCACAAACACCTCTGGAAACACAGATGAAGGTAATTTAAAAAATCTCATGGTTACAGGTAGAAAAAGCTGAAAAAAGAAGGTTGAAATGGACATGATCTTTCTAATTTATAATAAAATCAAAGGTGATTTTTTGAGAGTGCTGCTCTATTCGAGGATGTTAGGAACTGACAGTATTGTAATTGTTACAGTGATGGTTGCTCATTTTGTAAGGGGACTTTAAGAATCACATTCATGCATTTTATCTGGTTATGTTGCAGTTGTACCAAGTCAAATCACAGTTCAGATCTTAGCCATCCTCTATAACTAGAAGTGAGTGCAAGAAGTTAATTCCACTTTCTTCTCATTTTCCAGCAATCTGAGTGGTGTTCTGCCACCACTTGGGTTCCATGTTCACTTATCTGCAGAAGATTCCTTTTTGCAGTGTCTGCAGGTGCTCAGCATGTGGGGATGGAGGAAGAGCAATTTAGTGTGTCTGCTTAGGGTTGCTGGCAACTCAGAGCTGTTGGTCTCTCCCTTCCCTGACCTCACCTGGTTCAAGAGAGACTACAAGGCTTCTGCAGTCTTCTGCTGCACCATTTTTACAAAACAGCATTCAACTCCCAAGATATTAATAGGCCCAAATGTACTTCTGCATTGATGTCTAATTTTAAATTTGTTCACCTTTCCCATAAATTAAATAATTAAAAATTCGTTCATCTCACCTTCTTTTAAGATTGTGAGCCCTGTTAGGCACTGTTTTTTTGTGATATCTTGTGTGTTTATGGCAGGTATATTCCATGCCAGACTCTAGTTTAGATCTGGGCTGTGAATAAACTTTATCTAAATTTTGACAGATTTTCACAGAAAGTGTTCTGTTTTTGAAAAAACAGCTTCATGTTTGCCCTCATCATTCTGAAAACATTACTTCTGTTGAGTGATCTTTTTAATTTTCACAGGGGATTTTCTTTTTTGCGAAGTTGTAAATAAAATAACATATATTCTTGCTTTAAAGGTTATCAACTGGCAGACTTCCCTTCATATTCCACCTCAAGCTAAGCTGACTCCAGAGGCCTCTGACCTTATTATTAAACTATGCCGAGGGCCAGAAGATCGTTTAGGCAAAAATGGTGCAGATGAAATAAAAGCTCATCCCTTTTTTAAGACTATTGATTTTTCAAGCGATCTGCGGCGGCAGTCAGCTTTCTACATTCCCAAAATCGCTCATCCTACGGACACGTCGAACTTCGATCCGGTCGATCCAGATAAATTGTGGAGTGATGATGATAAGGAAGGAAACGTAAATGATACGCTTAATGGGTGGTACAAAAATGGAAAACATCCTGAACATGCCTTTTATGAGTTCACGTTCCGAAGGTTTTTTGATGACAATGGGTACCCGTACAACAACCCAAAGCCCATTGAGTATGAGTATAGCAGTTCCCAGAACTCAGACCAGCAGTCTGATGATGAAGAACAAGCAGGTAGAGGGGTTCAGAATCGTGACCTAGTTTATGTTTAATAGAGGAGTAAACACTAAATAAACAGTTTATTTTGCAGCTGACATTTTTGATAAGTGTTTTCTCTGAACAGACTTGAGAGAAGATTGCTAGGGTGAATATATGCACGTTCTTTATTGTTATTTTAAACACTAAGTTGTCTTTGCTTTCCATCTCTGTACATTTTCCAAAATACATTTCCAAAATCCAGGAAATTCCTTTTCAAAAATTAATTTATTCCAACATTGTCAATTATTTAATTTAGAAGAGATTCGATGTTAGGTGAAAAAATTATCACTTGAATTTTATCATTGATCTCTGTACTCTAAGTACTTAAAATAGGAAATAGTGATTTATTTTTTTCACCCTGAAGTGATGCCTGATATCTATTTGTACATATACTAAATAATTTTAAAAAAACAAGTCTTTGCTTCAGATTTTTTTAATGACAGTTCTTCCTTTGCATTGACCAAATATAAAACTAAATTTACACTAATGAAGCTACGTGATAAGTTTGGCAGCCTCTTCCTCCCCTTCCCCATACCCACACTGCTCACTGTATTTAGTATATTTATTCAGTGTTGGTGAAAACTGAGCCATCTTATCTGGTGAAACGTTTCCAGCTGCTGCAGTAATGGCATAGTTCTCAGCTTTCAAACAGGAAAGCGTCTTGGCTGTACTGTCATTGTGAAGTGATAAAGCGTTAGAAATGGTCTTTAAAATACATAATTGAATTTGACATTAGTAATGCTGTAGTGTGTGAGCAGGGGTCCTCGCTCAGAAACAACTTGATTGTCTCCTGTCAACAGCTCTCTTATGGTTTTGAGAGGAAGCAAGCTTAAGGAAAAGTACTTTTTGAAATCCAGTTTAATTTTCCAGCTACAACAGAACTGTAAAGTGCATTTTAAAAAATATGACTTCAGTTGGAATTTCTAGTTTGAAAGCGAAATTTTAGAATAGTTTCTTTATTATATGTTTGAAGTAATGATGAGAAAGAGCAGAAATTATGGCTTTTGAGACTTCTTGTAGGGTCTAGTTTCCCTTGCTTTTAATGAGTTTCCTCCTAGTGACAGTGTGTGAGAAATGTCATGCACCCAATCTGATCTGTTAGTTTTCCTTCATACATTTTCAGTGGTTCATCTTTCACAGCCCAGTTCAGAACAGAACTGGTAACCTGGGTCTGTCTGCTGCATATTCTGCATTCCTGTTTCACAGCTTCCCACAGCAGGTGAACAGGTGATTCTTTGGTCTCATGGTGGGAGGGCGATGAGCCTGCTGAGGTTGCCAGGAGCAGGAAGCAAGGCAAACCTGTGAAAAAAATTCCCTGAGAGAACACCAGGAGTTTCAGGTGAGAGGCGGAAAGAATTATACTTTTATTTCTCTCCATCTTGCTCTATTCTATGAATTCAACAGAGCAGTAAATAAAATGCACTATTTGTAGTAAACTTCATTCCTTTTTTTTTCCTCCATCCTTCTTGGAATTGAATTCCAATAGATAATTCCAAATTTATTGTAGTAATGTACTTTATAGTATTAGTGCTTTCTTAAGTTATTATTTGGTGCCTCTGCATTGTCCTTTTATCTATTCTTGCAGCAAACTTCAGTTACTAATTCAGTTTTCTCACTAAACTGGTCTAAGAAATTCTCGTGCACTTTCAGCTGTTTGTTGCCTTTCTGTGCTCAATACCTGTTTTTGTGCCAGTGCAACCATTTACAATGCTAATTATTGGCTCGGTGTGAAAAATGGTCTTTAGCATCTGGACGGTTGTTGTAGTGTGTGTTCATTGAAGTGAACCAGTGTGGTCCAAAAAATGGCTTATGAGGGCTGAGGGAGGAGTGAATTGCGGTGAGTAAAAAGTGTGGAAACTTCATAAACAGACTTTGTCACAAGAGGGTTTTTTTTAATTCACCTTTCTCCTTAGAAGTGTCTAGAATTAGGTGATGCTTTAAAAAAAAAAAACCAACAAACAAAAAAAAGACAGTGCTTTTCGTAACCAGGTAGATATTTTCTACAGTGAAAATGGGCTGTAGCTTAATAAAATAATTCATGTTCTGTCCAGCTGTTCTACAGCTGTTGAAACAGAACAGCTTTTAAGATTAATTTCATTTAGTTTGAATATTATAAAATGGTTGCAGTGTATAGCTACTCCATTTTATGTAAAAAAGATGGTTTTCAATGTAAATAAACTTTTAAAGATTATCCTCTTTCATAGTAAGTATCCCAGTAAAACTGGTCTACTTTGCTTGGAGTAAAGTATAATATATTGCTAGTTAAAGGTAATTTAATGAAACCTACCTTACCATTTGTGAAGTTTGCAGAGAAAATAATGTCAGTTCTTCATTATTAAATTGACTGTTAAAATTGCTTTTGTTTATCTGAGTATATTTCTCCTTTGCTTGCTTTATATTATGTTATTATATTCCTATTTAATGTTGTTACTGCTGTCTAGCTAGCGAGTTTAAAATACGAAAACAAACCCACCAAAAACAACAACCCAGAAGGGTCCTGCAAGGGCACGCGATTCTGTATGAGCAAAAACGATGGCTTTTAATAAAAGAAATTGAGTGTTTTAAGGACATGCAAATACTGAAATATTAAATATTATTTTACCATTTTGAAACAAACATACTAAGAGCTCACATTTTTAGACTTTGGTAGATGCTTCTAGCATTTTCTGTTACCTTGTTAGAAGTTGTAATATTCCTTGTTTGAATTTTGCCGTCCGTATGCTAAAGCACTGTGTGTTTCTTTGCAAAAATGCAGTGTGTTTCAGTCCGTGTTCTTCTCTGAAAAGAAAACGTTACTCATGTAATGATGGTGCAACTCTCCAACATACTATGCCTTATCCATGTTTGAAACGTCACGTTTCACACACTTTGAGTCTGTTGAGATTCTTTGTAGCTGCTGCTTAAAACATGGGTATTGTACTGGCTACACATCTTGGGGATTGCTTTATACTGGCAGTAGAGAAAAGGCTCCTAATCAGCAGCTGTGGAATTATGCAGTGAGTTTTAGTTCAGATTACTTTTCTCTCTGTAAAGCATGAAAACAGATTTCTCATATGTGTCCTTGTATACATATAAATTGTATTTATAAAATATTCTATAATCGTATACTGTATTGTAAATACTATTTGATATTCAGTGGCATTCTATCCTAGGGCAGGCCCTCTTGCTGTATCTTTTCTATCCTCAGTTTGTAATAGACTCTATAGAATATATGGCTAGGAAGTCACTGAGGCTGACTTGCCTTCTGCTGTTGCAAAGCTCAAAGCTGTGAGTGGGAATAATGTAGTCTCATTTAATATTGTTTAGCTAATAGGCAGTGCAGTGGATGGGTTCTTAGATGTTGCTGCTGTCACCGAAGATACCGTTAGGCATTGGTTTCGGATGTCTTTGCCATTTCAGATCAGACGTTACAATGTTTGCTTTAGTTCAGCCAAAGCAAAAAGATGTTAAATTGGGTCAACGTGATAGTAAAACGTTTGAATGCCTTAAGATGCTCTTGATAAAGGCACTATTCAAGTTTACTGATTTATATATATCTATATAGGCACATATATAGATATATCTATGTGTATATGTGTGTATATATAATGTCTTTTTTGTATTATAAACATCCTTCTGATTGTCACAGTTCCTTTGGATCTTCAATTAAAATACATAGACCACTGCACAGTTCTGCTCAAGCAAATTATTTATTACGTGTTTTGTTAGTAAACTTAAAAGTCTTGCATTATCTCATGACCATTCTGAGTTACTCACCAGTCTTTGAGTGTTCCGTGCTTGTCTGTGTCACAGCCTGGACACCCATTTTTGACATGTTTCTGCATACTTGTACTCTGCTGTGTGATATTCAAACGCCTGCTGGTACATTTGGGTTTTGTAGTGCTGTGTGATGTTGGTTGAACCATAAACACTAAGTCCCCTTGACGTTTGCATGGAAAGAACATGCATCTTCTACACCATCTTTTACAGCTGGAATCCTGGAGTTTCTTTTTCTCCTGTGTGCAGGATGCCAGGTTTCCTGTTCCTGTCAGTACCAGATAGCTGAAGAACTGAGTGAGCCTTGCTTGCCCTGCTGACTCAGCTGTGAGTGCAGCAGGCCCCAACCTGGGCGCTGTGAGCACGGGGTTGCACTGACACAACACCACACTTACTGTAAAGTTACTGCAGAGCAAGAGAATTACAGAATGTGTGGACAGTATAACTGTCAGCTTCTGGTAATAAGTTACACTCTTTTAGAGTTCAGAAACTCGTTCTGTTCTCAGAAGCAGTTTTTGTAGCGTAACATTTACTGGGGTAGTGAGAAGTACAAGAATACAATAACTGAAAAACTGAAAAAAAAAAAAAGATTTCTGTTTTGGTTAATCAGATGTGAAATGTGCACAGTAATCGTCCAAATGCAGTTGTTTTATTGTTTTCCTTCGATTTTCTCTCCCCAGAACCTCCCCTTACTACAGCAGCTTTACTGATTAACAAAATAAATGTTTGTAACCTGTTCTCAGAAGTATGCACTTTGATGTTCAAGAGCTGAATTCATTGGTGCTCTTTCCCTAACTTCTGCTACCACTACCATCAAGATCATTAAGATGTTGTCTATTTTTTATGTATAAAATTCTATCATGGAGCTATTCCTTCTCTGAAGTGATGCACCCTATCGCAGTGCTTACATTTGTCTTAAAGGTGAAAGAGACAGATAATCTGAAGAGCTCTAGGTTGTCACAGAGCGACTGTGTGGAAGGAATGCTCTTCTCTAGGCAGTTAACAAACTGAGTTAGTTTAAAAATCAGCGAAATCAAATAAGAAATTGGGACTCTGTACTTTTAGCTGAAATTACTCCTATGGGGGGCAGCTGGGCCATAGGTGGTTAATTGCGTGTATGGGGGAGGGGGAGGACACGATAAAAATGGTTTAATTCTCGCTCTGTGTTTGAGCACTGAAGGACAGATAGGGCTTCACGTTATTTAGAATTAGCAGCACTGGGGAGAGGCCTGCAAAACTCGTGCTGTGAAATCCCCTCAGCTGCGGTCCCCAACGGCCGGCGCGAGCTTTCAAACGGCTGCGGCGAGGCGGCGCCATTTGAAAACTCGTATAAAGACTGGGCCGTCCAGCCGTGGCGGTGTTCAACTGAGATAGCGCGGAAACAGTGAGCGTGTGAGCATTGGTGGTTCAGTGGTAGAATTCTCGCCTGCCACGCGGGAGGCCCGGGTTCGATTCCCGGCCAATGCAGTAACGCTTTTGAAATTTTCTATGTTTTCAATGCCTTTATTTCTTTTAAAGCCCCGCAGCCTCCACCCAGCCAGCAGTAAAACTGAAACAACGATGTTCTTCGGACGCCCACGTGATACCCGTAAGTAGCACCGCCTGGAAGTGACGCAGCGGATTTGCCTTCAAACCGGCGGCGGCGGCAGGAGGCGGGCGGAGCGGGGCGGGGTTACCGAGCCGGAGGAGAGAAGGAAGGCGGAGGAACGAGCGGCGGTGCTGGGAGCTGCCGCCGAGCTTTGGGCCGTACGGGTGAGACCCGCGGCACTCACCCCGCTGCGGGGCGCCCCCGTCCTCCGCTGGCGGCCGTGGCGCCGGGCCGCCTCCCCGAGGTGAGGGCTGCCCCGCCCGGCACCTGCCGCCGCGTGGCCAGGGTTGCGGGCAGGGCCGGAGGGCTCGGGCCGGGGTCGGAGCTCAGAGCAGAGCCTTCGCGCTGCATCTGGACGGCCGTGGCGAGGGGCGTCCTGTTTCGCAGGGCTCCCGGCCGGGGCTGCCTCAGGAGCCGGCTTTCGCTTTGTGCTCCTTTCTCTCCACCTCCTGCTTGTTTTTTTTTTTCGCCTATATTTTAGATATCCATTTTGCAGCAGGCCCTTTCCTTCCAGCCTTGCTGAGAAGTTCGGTGTTGTGGTTCTGGTTCTCTCAGAGCGCCAGCCCCGTGAAACGGGAGCGAGTACCGTGGTTGGTTCAGAGTCTTCTGACAAGCTCAGTATTGAAAACACGACGTCGTCTGCGTACGGCTCCTGTACACGATGAGTTTTTGTATATATGAAGTGTGCTTACAGCTGTGGTTGCTGATGGCTGTCTTTCACTACCGTTAAACGCAGCATGTGAGAAGCAGTGCGGGTAAGCGTCGCGTTTCTGTAGCAATCAGCAGGAGCACTTGTTGATACCAGAAGTTGCTCACAGTGCGCGTTGTGGAGTGGGGCAGAAGGGATCTCAGAGGTACGTTGCCCAACTATGGGACGCCGTGTTAGGAGTGAAAATTGGTTCCCGAGAGCTCTTACTGCTGGTTTCCCCTCCCTGTGTTTGTGGAGGGAACTTTCTGAGTCTCACATGGCTGCTTCGGTGTCAGAGCCTGCCTAGCAGGCTGCAGTAACAGGACACTCTGCCAGAACCCTGGCACTGGTGTAAGCCAGGCGTGGAAGTCTTGCGGGAATACTGTCCTTGCGTGGCTCGTGCTGTTCTGGGTCCGACAGAGGGGTTGGGGGACCCATGGCAGCTGACAGCTCGGCTTTGTTCTTCCCTCCTGACAGCTCAGTATCTTTTTTTTTTTTTTTCCTCTTTGTGTGCATATGGGGGGATTTCTTTGTGAAACATTGTTGAGTTTGTGTTCAACTCCCTAAATCCTCGTGTACTGTTGTGAAGAACTTTGGGTACTTCTTGATAATTTCATAAAGTTATTGCTGGAAACGTGATATACCCTCAGTGTTTTCTTGATGATGATCAAGCTGTTATCTTTAACGTAAAGCACAAAAATCAAATTCAAAATGTCATTCTCAGAAGCTGTAATACCTTGAACCTTTGTTAGATTCCTCCCATGCTACTCTTGTCAGTTTCAAACCATAGGAATATTTCAGGTGCTTAGAGCAAATGATAAGATATATGAATGTATTTTGTTACTGGAGATGGGTTAAGGTGTGACAAGATTTGTGTCAACCCTGAGAACTGAGGATGTTTACAGCCAGTGCAGAGAGGGAGAATGGTGTGTGTATGCACATGGAATTAAGCTACAAGTCAGAGGTCTTGGGCTGATTGTGTCCTGCCCTGTTTGCTGTGAGCTTTACAAGCCTATTGCTCCTCCAGTGGCTGTTGGAACGTAGATAATTTCACGGGGGGTGATTCACGGGAAGGTTGTAGCTGATAAGTGCATTGCTGCTGCTCTGACATCCGGCTACGTGACAGCACCAGGTATTTGTAAACACTTTACAAATTAAGCGGTTACAAATTAGAGTGTTTTTTTTTTTATTATTCTTTCCTGAATTTCTTCTGGTCTGGCTTAGCTCTGGGTTTGTGTGCTTGCACCTCTCTCACACGAGTCTTTTATGGTATTCTGAGCTGCCACAGCCTGCTTCGTGCTGCAAACCTTAATCAGCTTTCAGATTAGTGCTCTAACTCCGTCTCCTGCCTGTCTTGAAGCTGCTTCAGCATCTGCAGTTGCAACAAGCTGTGGGCTTGCATTAGTGGACCCGCTCTGGTACTGCTGTCTGCAAGCCACAGCAGCATGTCCAGACATGGGCTGAGCCAGCAGCTGTCCTGCACAGGAGGCACGTGTCTGGGAGCAGCTCCAAACTCTGCTCTTCTTGTGAGTCAGCATGAACCAATACAAGAGTTGTTTTATTATGTTCTGTGTCCCATCTCTGGTATTTAAGCAGAATTGCCTGTTCTGCTCAGATCGCTCTGCCAGTATTCAGCATGTTTCGTATTATTATTATTTTTTTTTTTTCCACTTATGTACTGCTCACCGTGTTTGAAAGTCTGGTTTGGCTCTGGTAACTTGCTGTTACTTGATTTTTAGAATGTTTATTAGCATCTTGCTCAACTTGTGATTTTAGAGGTGTTAGTCATGGGTTTGAATTCTCAGGACAGGCAAACAGGTGTATCTGGTAGGATGAGCACGGGTGGAAAAGCTTGCTCCTAAATATAGCAGGTAAAACTTCAGTAACATTTGCTTGATGATCCAGGCAGTAGTTGACAAATATCTTCAGGCTCTTTCTCCTGAGATTAAAAAAACCAACAATACTCCCAAGTCAAGCTGTGTCTCCAGAGCTTAATCACACAGGGACATGGCAGTCTTTGTAGTTGCTGGTCACAGGAACCATACCAGTTTGCAGATGTGGCTGTGGCCGGCTCAGCAAGTCTCTGGGCAGAGTGAGCTGCGTGGTGCAGGCTCTGGTAGCAAGCTTCCAGATGCAGCCCTGCAGGTGCCATCCCTCCTGCATGGCCCTGCACATGTGTGCATGTGGGCTAGTGGGGCCCCTCTCCAATTCCGCTGCTGCCAAGTTTTGCTGTTAAGGCTGAAACTTTTCTCAGCAGCTGGCTGCTTCAAGGGGAAGCAGGCAGGTGGAGAAAGGAAAGAAAAAGTTGTGTTGGCTCGAGAATGGATCAACATTTATTTATCCATACATAAAATTACTTGGGAGGGGAAAAGAGAAGGGAGGAGAGGAAGCCTTAAAATGTTTGATTTGTACTTAGCAGCTCCTCCTTACAGAGGGGACGTCACATTTTAGCTGTGGATTATCTGGTGTGCGGTATGACTTCTGAAACCTCTGGTAATGTGTCCAAGTTTCACCATGATCTGGTCATGAAATATGTTTGGTCTTAAGTTGTTTTATTGCACATGTGAATATAGTGCTTCTTACATTCTTTAAATAGTTGATCTGTATCAAGTATGCTTCATCCCAGGGCTTAGCA